AACATATGGGAGGGAACTGTGTTTGTCTCTGTGTTGAGTGAGGGCTTCTCTATGGATCCAAGCAGAGGAAGTGGCAGATGGCCTCCTGAGCATGCTACATGTGGGAATTAGTTGGTTTCATAATACGGTGAGGGAGAAGTGCCTTACAAGAGTCTTCTCATGCTTCTCTTATTACCACTTCTAAAGCTTCAAAGCTGTCATCTTTCCTCCTCCTCTGCTGGTGCTATGCTGCACTCCCCAGGGAATGGACGCAAGGCACCCTGTGGAGGCTTCACATGCCAGAACGTGAAAAATCAGTTTAAACTCCAAGTGAAACAGCTTTTGTTGCAGGAGGCCCCCTAAGTGCTCTTGTTTGCTTAGTGGCACTGGAGTTTTGAAGGCAGATAAAAACATCCTCACAGCGGACATTAAAGAAGGCCCTGAAGTTCACTGATGCCCTTAAATATTCAGACACAAGTGTTAAATGGAAACTTGCTTGCATCTCCTAAACCTGTTCAGGTAAATTACAGTGGAAAAACACAACAGACAAGTTGTCATACTTTATGAAGTCAACTGCAGAAGTCTCACTAGTTTCACCGGGAGCCAGATTTGGCACTGGGAATAGATGACAGTAAATGCACTAAATTATTATTCAAGAACAATTTGAAAGTAGACAAAAACATAATGCCCAATGTTGCCACAGATCACACTCCAGAACAAGTACAGTAGACTCCCAACTATCCGGCCTAATGTGGCGGAAGGGCAAGCCGGATAGGCAGGAGTTCTATAAATGCTCACTTCCTACCCCACCCATACCATTAAAAACACCCTTTTTATACCAAAACCCGCTCTTATTCATATTTTCTGACCTCTTAGTTCAGGCCAGTACTTTATAAATGTTTGTTATGTACTGTACTGTATGTTTTAAAATTTTATTACAGAAAAAGGAAGTCCAAGGATAAAAATATTGTACACATTTTAAGATAAATTTTATAATGTCTAACTTAATTGCAGGAAACATAAAATCATGTACACTGTACAGTATGAATACATATACTTTTAAAATAAATAAAACATTAACATAAAACGTAGGCTTAATTCTTCCAAAAATTATTTAAACTTATTTTACTGTTCATTGATAGTTATTTTTTACTAGGTCAGATAGTACGGAGGCCAGATAGTCGTGAGGCGGATTGTTGAGAGTCTACTGTATTTATACTTGTATTTCATTGCCATTACTGGAATAAAGACTCCTGGAAGAGACTTATATTTGGTGAGAGGGAGGGAGGGAGGGAGAGTGGAAGGCTGACTGAGGTCCAGTAAGAATAGGGCAGTGGGCATGGGAATCTCTCCATGTGCTTTTCTGGCTAAAGGCCACATTTTGAAATATTGGCTTTTGGGCTGAAAGGTGTTATGCTCTTCTGAGGAAAACATACACACGTTTCATAGTGTGTGATTCAAGGTTCTTGATGATGTCTCTCTTTACAAGTTGTCCAATCAGCTTAAATTATCTAGTTCCTAATAAGTACCAAATGCAAACACGAAAACACAAAGAAAAGCAGTCTTTTTCTGCTTAGCATAGTGCTCTTTATACATGCAACCAGGGCTTTTCTGTCATAGAACGAACCAGAACGTCTGGCACCATTTTTTTCCAATGAATTTTATGAAGTGATTTTGAAAGGCATAGCAGATCAGCAGCAAACATCATTAACATAGTGCCTGCCTGCTGCTTTTGTGTCTGCTATCTATCTGATAGTGGGATTGGTGTGTGTGGTCGTGCGCTGAGCTGCTGGCATGAGTTCCAGCACCCCCCCCTTTTTTTTTTACAAAAAAAGCACTGCATGCAACAGGCTGGTTCATACATAACAACAAGCCATCATAGGTTAATTTATCCATGGATTTTGTTACTTTGCACCAACCCAGTATTTTTAGAATCCAAGCTGCAGTGGTTGGCATGCAGCAGCTTCTTGTTGTGGGTGAGCCGGCCAGGATAGTTGGAGCGGTTAACAAACAAGGGAAGTACTGACTGTTCGGAGAAATTAACACAGGAGATACAGTGGGTTAAGGACCTAGACTGACAGAGACTACAACACATCTAGCAATGCGTCTAGGTTAAAACTGATTGATTTAATTGATGTTGGGCATGCCAATAGTAGCTCCTGACATCCTAGGAGAAGGCACAGTAAATTCAATATGATTTCTGCTGAGATATAATTAATTTTCTCACATACATAATAGTTGTGTCTGACTATAATGCTAATTGTTATGAGGTTTCAACACTGTGTACCACATTTGTGTCACAGAAATGAGCTGCGGGCTTGCTCACTTCCTCTCCTCCTTTCCCCTGGATAGACTGGGAGGAGATTAGAGGTGTCCACTTCCATTTGTGATCAACCTGCATTTAACATGGCATCTCAAACACGAACGGGTTACACTTAAGTATTGTGAGTTTAAAAAAGCCAGCTTCATAGCATATGGGCAGAATCTGGCAGAAAGGAATTCCTGATCTGTCCCATTCTAGGAACAAGTGTTTTGGCTTATTTCCAGGTTGCTATTGGAAGCACAAACCTCTTGTTGCACTGGTGATTGGTCTCACTGGCACAACACATTCAGTGGAGAGGCAAGACTGCCCTATGATTTGAAGTGGGCATGCTTTTCAATGAAGTGGTAATCCACAATTCATCTACCTGGAGACAAAATGACCAGGAACTGTGATACATACATCTTGCAGGGAAACCAGAAGGCCTGAACAATGCCAGAAAGTATTTTAATTGTTTGCTAATCTAGAACTGCACACTAAATTGTGAAGTTAATTTATACAGAGAAGTGATACATGCTTATTAGCACATACTTCTGTGGTTGGCAAATTTCCATATGGAACCAGGGAAGCAGTCTGAATGTTCCAAAATAAGTGGTCTAGCTATATGTTTGAATGAAACTAAAGTATCATTGAAGATCCCATGGGAACAAAGGGTACATTTGCAAATATCTTTCCCAGAGCAACCACAAGAATAACAGTTTGAATTGCTCTGTAAACTTTTTATCAGCTTCCCGGAATACCAACTTGTGGTTATGCTTGGAAAAACTGCCAGATATTAATTCATGTGTAATGTGGTGCTCTTTCCCACTGAAGAGGGTGGCTAGGAACATAGTGCCATCTCTGAGTGATGTGTTCTTGCATGGAATCTCCGTGGGTGCTTTCAGAGACAGTTAAAAAACCCAAACATTTCCAGTGCAGCAATTAAAAACTGACGTTACCCTGCCCAAACATCTGGTTGATTAGGTTCCAGATTGCATTTTACTTCATCATCTTTAGCAGTAGTGACTTGGACTGAAGATCACTTACTTTGAATAAGCCCTAACAATGGAAGATTAGGCAGTGAATTTTGTTTTGCATGTCAGCTACAACACTGGCCTCCAAGTGATGGGCTTGCATGTGAGGTTTCTCAAAACCATAATATTTGTAATTCACCCAGAATGTATCACCACATCCAGAAGGATGCCTGTGTGCTTAATGAGCATGGTCAAATAAGTTATTAGAGAAAAGAAAGCTTCTATAAGGACATGGAAGTCTTTCTCAATAGAAGAGAACAGACAGGAACACAGACTCTGCCAAAGGAAATGCAAGCAGACAGTAAGGGATGCAAAAGAGGAATCCAAGGAGCACATTGCTAAAAATATTCAGACCAACAATAGTAAATTATTCAAGTATCTGAAGCAGAAAAGCAGCTATGGAGGCAGCTGGCCAAACAAAATGTAACAAAATGGCAAATCCCATTCAAAGCATAAGTTTAAAGGTATACATATTAAGGCAAAAACATGCCAGTATGGTTTGGTATGTCAGAGTAGTCAAATGAGCAATTTCTTAACTGAAATCACAGTGCAGAGACTACTTTGCCAATATTATAGCTTCTTCACAGATTGAAAGTATGGTGTAGTGGTTGGAGTGCGAAACGCAGATGGGGAGAAATCTACTCTCAACCCTAAAGTTCAAAGTTTAGCCTTGGGAAAATAATTTTCTCTCAGCTCAATTTTCTCACAGAGTTTAAATGTGGAAAGAAAGGCATGGTCTCACTTACTTGAGATTCTTGGAGGAAGGATGGGATATAAACGTGATACGTAAATGAGGAAGCAAGCCACGTGGCTCACCAATGGTAACACCCAGGCCATATTTTCTGAGTGTTTCTTGCTCTGGGCATGTTGGTGTGTACTGACACATTTAAACTCAAGATCACTACCTGATTTGCATGTTGATCCTCCGCACAGATTTTGTTTTAATGCAGTTTTCATATCAGTACATCTATTTTTGTATGCGGGTACAGCTTGTCAAACAAATATCCACAACTTCACATTAAAAATGTTTGTTTTGCTCCTTGCTAATCGCCATATGTCAAACAACATTCAGTACTACCCTCCTGTTTTAAGTATTACTGTATTTTAATTAAATTTATTGTACATATCTACAAGAACAAGTGTTATTGCAAGGGAATTTTGAATGACTAGTAAGTCAATGGTCTTTGAATACTGAATAATAATGCATAAACACAGTCCAGAGACTTCTTGGGATAAATACACAGATATTTGATAAAACACTGCTGTCTTTATTGATCTGTTTCTCTATATTGTAAATGCTTTGTACATTACAGTTTTGAGCTATAATAATTTCACTGTTTGACTGTGCTGTAATAACTCAGAACATAATCTGAAATGAACCACAAACTTTATCAATATTAGATTAGAGAAACAGAACATCAAAAACAAAGAAAAAACCAAATCACTTTCTCAAAAGAAGGAACAGATTAATGGCACTGCAATACAATTACTACATTCCCAAAGGAGAAGACAGTGTTGCCTTCTTCCTAGAAAACATTTACTTACACATTAAAATAATTTTTCTCATGAATGTTCTAATATTAATGCTAGGCTTTTATACTGCATCTTGTCATACTGCTCAATTGATAACAGAAAATCAGAAAGCCACATTTATAACAAGTTGAACCAAGTGTCTAGGAAAGACTTACCCAAGGTTAGAGATTTGTGTGTCGAGCAGAAAATAATAGCCACTGTATCTGCTGGTGTGAACCCAGAATTCTTCCTAGAAAAGATGTTATGAATGTTAAAAATCTCTTCTACCAAATGTGTGTTCACTGATCAAATAAGCCACTTTATGTAAGAGTGTTTTAAATCACTCTGATCAATGTTTGCAACAAAAAGTTCTACTCACATATGCTTAGCAGTTTTTTGTTTTTGTTTTAAATGGAATTATTTCTTTGTATAAAGTCTTTTATGCATGCATTCTTATTTGAAACATCAGAAAATCCAAGAATGTTATTGCAGGACACAAAATTATCCACACCACATCTGCCTGCCTGCTAATACTCTCAAATTCCAATTCTGTATCTTTATCTTGTATTATCTTGCAAAATTTCCTTGGCAGCCCCATTAACTCATTATTTTGGAATGCTGTGCTGCAGACCCATTCATGTTTAACATGTTCTGAGCAGTCATCCAATGACAGGGTGAATCAGCCTGGTCATGTAGTTAAGTTCCCTTATCATGTAGGCAGAAGAGGTGCTATGATTGCACTGGGAAAGTGCAAGCCAAAGAAAGGGCTGACTGCGTGTGCTAATGGGCCCTTGCCACTACTGCCCTCCCCACATCATAAACATGTCATCCACTGTTGGGTCCCTCACCTATGCTGCTTGTTTCAATCCCAGCTGCCACTAGGAACCCTGCCTGGTGTGGCTGCTTGCTACACTTACTGCCAGTCATTTACCATCTTTCCTGAACTATCTAGCAGCCAGAGACAGTGCTTCTCGATGAGAGTGGCTGCCCCTAGGAGCTCCTGAAATGTGATGCATGACATTGCACACTAAATTTTAGGGAACTTAACATGATGCCCACCTGCTCAGCTCCATCACATGCAAAAGCACTAGTGTTCACTGGTTAAAGACATCAGGGAGAAGATGTAAACAACTGGCAATAGTGCTAGTGGAGCCATGCCACCCCCCTGCCCCCAGGATGGACCTGGCAATGCCAGACAGGGCTCAGTGGCACCCTGACCTTGGAACGAGCTCCACGGAGGTTCACCTGGCACCTTCCTTACATTCTTTTAGGGAACAGATGAACACCTTTTTTTATTTTGATGGTATTTTAATTAACTTGTTTTAAACAGCATTTTAACTGTGAGTATGTCAATAGTTTTGTGCGTCTTATATTGGTTTTAATGTTTTTATTTGTAATTGCTGTTTTATATCACATCTTATTCTGTATTTTATTATGTAGTTTATTTTGCTGTAACCTGCCTAGGGAGCCAAAGGGCTAATGGGACAGGTTACAAATCTAATAAAAAAATTAACTGTGGGGTGAACAGGGCTGGTGATGGGCCATTCTAAGCCTTGGGGCCAATGGTAGGTGGCCAATCATACTAACTTTTAATGCTGGGTCTGGGGGCAATGAATGTGCTTCTTCCAGTCTTCATGGTCATAGGAACACCTGTGCCCACAGCTGCATCTACAGTCCAGATCATGCTAATGCTATCTTGCATGGTCATAGCCAGTATGGTGCCAGTGTGGTGTAGTGGTTAAGAGCATGGGACTGGGACTCAGAGGATCTGGGTTCGAGTCCCCGCTCGGCCATGGAGCCAACTGGGTGACTTTGGGCCAGTCACAGTCTCTCAGCCCAACCTACCTCACAGGGTTGTTGTTGTGGGGATAAGAAGGAGGAGGAGAGATAATGTAAGCTGCCTTGAGCCCTTTGTAGGAAAAAGGCAGGATATAAATAATAATAATAAAAAAAAATAGGGACACGAATAGTTGAGGTGGAGTCATACCTATTATACATGTTATACATATTTTTAAAATTTTAAATATCAGATTTTCAAAAATGTAAACCAATATCCACAATAAAATCAAGTGGCACTGATGTGCATTTTCTCAGTTTGCATATGCTTATATACAATATATAATGCCACAAAATATTTCACAAAACTTCTATAATAGCCTGATGAACTTAGGGCAGAATAAGTGAGTGCAAAACTAGGCAGCAGTGTATTTATTATATTAAAGTTATTCATCACATCTGGAATCTGTTGGTAAAATCTGCAGTTTGCTTCTCCCACTCTGCAGTTGACTGAATCTGCAACCAGCTAAAGTGATGACCCTTTGCTGATCATTGCAGCTGTTTTTCAGCACCATTGAGGCATTTTTAGTTCCTTATTCTAGAACGTTGTTCATTTATTGTCAGGTTTTTCCTGTTGTGATTAGAATTTTATAGTAAGGCACTTTGTATTTGACTGAATCATAGAAAGGTAGAATATACATGTCCAATAAATAAGGAGTGGAGTCAATTAAAATCCCAAACTTCTTTTTATCCAGATCCTCTTTTTAACCTGCAGATAGAAACTGAGTGCTCTGTCTGAGCTACAGAAGAAATGACAATCCTCCCTTGTTTTGCACCCACCTATTCTGTTTGTTCATATGGAGTTCATGTGCTACTGGTATTACATACCTCGTAGAAAAGAAGAAAGTTAACAGCATGAAACCCAGCTGAACTGAAAATACTGAAAGACAAAGTAGGTTGATAAATACTGATGTGTTGCATGCAAATAACTACATAAACATGTGTTTAAAATATACATTCATCTCTTCATATGGGAAAAAGCATGCATTTTAATGATGTTTACCTGACACCCAGACAAAAATAAGACAGCTGATCTAATTTAGTTCCCAATCAATATGTCTACTTCTCAATATGCAAACACTGAACCCAGAGCAAGAAAAAATAATGCAGGAACTAGATGCAGAATTATCCCCTTCACAAGAAAATAAGAGCATTGATGGCTTGTTGGTTCACATTCTGAGTCAAGCTGTTTTCTTTTGATGGGTGATCTTTATAAGTTACTTTTTTAAGGTTTCTGTAAGTAAAGTGATTCAAAGATACCCATACAAAATACAATGCTAAAAAGCAAGAAAATAATTGGAAATGCGTATACATACAATTTTGTCCTTATATGCAGTGTGAGACTGCAGCATATTTTCTAAAACATTATATGAAAAAGCTTCCTTATAAGCAAGATTAAATGATTTATTTTGCAAGAATGGGCAGATTTCAGGCTTCTGGTTTTCCCCTTTTTCAAAACTAGAATCACCACTTTTCCTGTTCTTCTAGCAAGGCACAGTTATTCTGGGCACATTAATTTATACTATAGCATCATTATCAGTAGCTAATGTATACTACTAGGAGACACTATTATTATCAGTAAAAATATGGCAGAATTCAAAAAGAGCTGGCTCCTGCAGCCCAATTTTTAAAAAATTGCTGCAAATCAACCTTTTCAAATTCCATTTATCTTACAATTTGATAGTTTGTACACCTTACAAAGCATATTCTCCATGCAAAAATACATATGAGGAAGATGATTCATTCTAAATTGTAAAAGAAATTGAATTTTATGCTTTTCTGTGTACCCTACTGCAATTACAATTTTAATTTGCTTGTGCATGTCACTCAGAAAACCAAAAAAGGAACATAAATCATAACTGAATTCATTACACTGTGATATGATCAGGATATGATTTCACTTCTGTTTTAGACAATTTAAAACCCCCCACAGAATTCAACAGAACGTGAATTCTTTGATATTTCTAAAACGCATTCAAAGATAGCACTCCTACACAGACATTATTCACCACATGTAATATTGAGGCCACCATGCAAAAAACCTCAGTACTGACTTTTCAGACATTCACAGGCCCTGACCCCTTGAGTCGGAAACAGCCATTCTGAAACATAACCCAGCTGCTAAAAGAAATGACAATGTGCAAATAGTACTCACTTATGAAAACTATTATAATCAGGCTAAACTTATCAAGGTCAATATTTGGATTGGAAAATGTATCACAGAAAGTTGTATAGATGATCATCAAGAGTACACAACTGCTGATAGCACCAAATGGAGGCTTCTTTCTCTCAAGCCATTCCTTGATATATCTTCGGACAATCTGAAACACAAGGAAGAAAAAAAATCCAACAGGTTGCCTCTTTTCAACACACACAGAGAGCCAAGTTGGGCATCACAAAACGAATCTGACAGCAGAAAGACATAAAGAGAAGAGAATAATTTGGATGACGGCCACAGTGGATTTCAAAGCTTTCTTGCCACATAACTCTTCTTCTGGGGAATTTAACATTTGTAGTGCAACTTCCACTGGGTGTCCATAATGAGAGTATATTTTCAAGTACATTCAAATCTATCCTTAATCATGCCAAATGTTCTTTGCTAGCTGTCACTGAGACATACCCATTAAGCCTCCCCAAAGTTTATCTCCTCTGCTGATACTAATGGATGTATGTAATTATCACAGTCCCCTTTGCATCAACAGACAATTCCAAGTGTAACTTTGGGAATCTTAAAAATCTGACATCTTCAGGAATTTCATGTGAGCAGATAATCGAAAGTGATCCATGGAACATTTAAATATTTAAATAGCTAGTGATGCACCAGAAGTTTTTAATTAAATTATAACTCATGCTTGAAAAGCAAAAATGCATGTGTTGTGGGAGCTTAAATAATTTAGAATCTGAAGGTCTAGATTTTTTGCAGATACAAAGACAAATGCCAGTTGCATGCTTCTGGAATACTAGAATTAACACAGGAAGATGAACAAGCCTAAAATGTAGTGAGTAACTTTTTACATTATGAATTTGAAAATGAAATTAGAATTTTAATCAGTTTTTACTTTCCTTTTAGAGGTGGAAGCAGAATGCTTCCAGAAATACAGGATTGTTTCTCATGGTGGATGTTTTTTTCTACTGTCTACCACAGCAGCTTTCTAAATGTTTGTATGGGCTGGAGATGGTTCCATAAGCTGGTATAGGTAGATTTTCCTCATGGGAATTATCATACAGTGGCTTTTGGCAGCCTCAAGCCCTTCAGTTATGATGAACTTTAATTCCATAATTCTCATTAATCATGGACAAAGACCATGCTGGCTGGGAATTATGGGAGCTGCAATCCCCTATGTCTGAAGAGCACAAACTTGGGCAAAGCAGGACCCTTGCTTTCTTGTTTTATTTCTTTTCCCTACTATCAGGTATGGCAAGATCCTCCATGAATAGCAGCCTGAGATCAATAATAAACTGATGATAGTGAATAATAATAGGATAATGAATGTGAATAAGTCAGAATTTAATCCAGACATTACAGAAAACCTGATGTTGGTGGCCCTACTTATTTGGTTACAAGGCCATATAGGAGACCAGCACTGCATGATCTACATTGTAATAGGCAGAAAACAGATCTTCTTATGCTCTGAATCTGGATTCCTAGACGTGACTACCAGCAGAGCCACTGATCAGGAAGGCTAGAAGTTCAAGTCCAAAACATTTTCTGCCTACTTCTGTGTTTGGGAATGCCTACCCTATATGCCCCCCAACTCCATGAAGTGTAGCTTCAGGTGCTACCACTGTTAGCTGTGAGGCTACGTCTTCTACCAAGACATGGATGTTTCATTTGGTGGTATCAGTGTTATGGAATATTCTGATAAGGAGATGCATCTGACCCATTTTATCATCACTTTTAACTGAAACTTTCATTTACTACTAAATCTTCTTTGGCTTCAAAGTTGTTTGATTTTTTTTGGAAGCCCTTTAAAATGTGCAGGTATTAAAATGCATTGGCATTGTGCTTTTCATTTAATTTTTAATATAACTTTATGTTATTTTAATATTTTGTTGTAAGCTGCTTGAAGGACTTTATTGCATGAAAAAGTAGACTACATGCTTAAGTATAAATAAGTCAAGCAGAACTAATAGGTTCGAATGTTTCTGTTTTGGAGAGCATATTTGACTTGAAGGAAATGATACTAGCCATGGCTTGTATTAATTTTTCAGTCACCACATTACAAGATTTCTCAGGAGACAACCTAACAGATTGTATTACTCTGGTGTTTTAAAAGTTATGCTGCAATTTCATGCTACATACTAATTTGAGAGTGCTAGAGATGTCATGTTACCTCACAGTAACAATAGTATTAATGATAAAGCATTGCCATGAGAAGGTTTCAGATTAAATCATCCAAGATTAGATTAACAAAATCAGAGCAACTTTACAAGATTTTCAAAAAATATCTGTTTATTTCTGATGGCTTATTTTGATTGATGAGGGGGCTTCCAGGAGAGGCTTTTATTGTGCGATTCACTGCCTCCTTCACTGAATTTTGCAAGATGATGTCTTCATTTGTAGCCCTTCCATGTTTTATTACTTTTCATGTTTTCCTTAACACAGTGCATCTGCTACAGAGGAAAAGGTGGAACGCCTTCTCATTGATAATGAGAGAAGTCCTTTGTCAAGAAGCATCCTAAGCCTGGATAGGGTTGTAAATAAGAGCATTAAATATGGTGGGCAGCTCTGTAAGAAAGGGAGAACAAAAAGTAATTTAAACTAGCAAATGTATGAGGTATGGACTCTCCTGCAGAATCTAATTGGAGCTAATTCCAGGTCTGAAAAGTAACTAGCTACTAGGGCCATATTGTCACTCCTTACCATAATGCTTATGGGAACTTAAGACGGAGAAAGAAATCAGAGGGTTATCCAAAGGAAAACATGCAATAATGAGTCACTTCAATTACCCTTACAGATGAGGGGTGCTTCTAGATGGAAGAATCCTGGCACTACAAATTTACTGCTTCTCTGCTGTAAGCTGCAACTGGAATTGCAGTGGACTTTCCATACTCCAACACTTTTTGTGTATATATTATGCATCAGTGGAGAAAGACATAGCTCTGTGCATACCTCTTCCATTTCCCCCTAGTACACTGGTGAGCAGTTCAGAGTGGTTTGTTTTGGTTTAATCCCTATCTACTTTTTATTCTGCCCCCTCTCCAACGTTAGCCGGGTAGGGAGAAAACTGTGGTCTCAATCAGCCATTATTTATTAATTTTATTCATTAGATTAATATTCTGCTTTTTTTTCTTATGAACTCAAAGTGGCTTACATAATTTGCTTCCTCCTGCTGTCATTCTTATTCCCACAACAACAACCCTGTATAGTAGGTTGGGCTGAGAGTCTGTGACTGGTTGGTTTCATGGCTGAGTGGGGAATAGAACTCAGGTCACCTGAGTCCCAGTCCCATGTTAACCACTACACCATACTGGCTCTCATTATAGTCAGGTTCAAAAAACAATGCAGGGGCTTCTTACTGCACCAAGATTTTCCTGTCTTTTTCCAATCCCAATGGAATTTTCCTCTGCAGGAATGCAACAGGACAGCTCCCTCAGGCCTCTGGCAACACAGCCTTGTAAACATTACAAGAAATACATTGCTGGCAGCAGAAAGAGCCCCAGAGTGAGCAGACACCATCACCTCCACTCCCGCAGCTACGTAAGTGGCAAGTGAATCAGAAAAGCTCAAGGGAGAGGAATTCCCGTAAAGCTGAGTAAAACAGAAAGCCTTGGCACCCCACCCCCAAAACAAAAAGCCATCCCAAAATACTATGCATATTTTTAAGTGAACTTGTACGTATGCTTTCATCAGATGTACCCTGACATATATTTATTAAATATATGCACTCTGATGACAATGACTATTGATTGGACTCATTTCACATTTCTGACTGCAAACTCTGACGAGACTCCTGACACGCTCTTATGTATCACACTGCTCCAGCATATATTATCTGCCCTAAATGGTTTCTAGTGTAGTAAAATATCACAGGTACTTCATGGCTGAAGAACCACAATTGATTGAATGTACATAACTGAAATAGAAACAATTTCAAATGATGTTTCCAAATTTTCAAATTCCTTGCAAATATATCAAAGTGTTAAGTGTGTGTGTGTGTGTGTGTGTGTAAATCAGATGGCTCTCAGCACTACCAATCAAAAGACATTATCCATCTTTTCCATTCCATCCCTTTCTGTGGAAACATAAAAGACAGTAAGAAGCCATAGGAAAACACATTCCTCTTCAACCATGTGACTTCCAAGACTGGATTATTCTTTCCCTGTGCAAATCAGGACTGAGAAGGTGCCATTCCAGAAAAAACTACTTTGGAGGAAGGGCTGGTATGGCATAGTGGCAAAAGGACTGAGCTATGGATGTCACTAGTCTGAGTCTAAACACTGCCAGAATTCAATAAACAGCTACAAGGAAGCCAAATTTTTTTAGTCCAGCTTCACATCTGCTCTGCATGGACAGTAACACTGGCTTTAATTTAATAAGTTCTTGGGAGGACTACAAATTAATGTGAAGGGAAGTTCAGTGGTGTGACTGGAAGGAGGACCCCCCCAGTTGCAATTGGAGACAACTTGTAACAGGGACCACTTAAGGCAGTTCACGCCCTATGCCAATAATTCTTAACATTTATAGAACACTTTCTGAGTATTCAAAGAGCTCTATGCACTTTCATTTTAGAAATTCTTACAAAAATCCTGTAAGGTAAGCTAGTCGTATTATCTCCTCACTGAACATGAGGGTGGCAATGAGAGCTGAACTGCGAGCTTGGCAATTCAGGCTCTCAAACATTACTTAGTACACAGAGAGCACTCCAATAAAGAAAAAGAACCACGTATGCCTCACAAAGAAAGATGCAAGCATGAACCTAAGCAGCTCTTCCCAACAAGCTGTGTTTCTGCAATTGCTTTGTCCCAGCACATACTTCATGCTGAAGAATACCAAGGTCGTAGTCTCCCGCAGCAAGTAAAGGAGGGTATTTGGTTGACTGTACAAAGGCATCTGAGGCCAGTGAGCAAGGGAGTGTTAACACTGTTGCATTTATATATTATTGACTTTATTTACATTATTTATGTCCCACCTTTTCAACAAGTTGCATTTAAAAGGGCATTCTCTCCACCTGTTTCTACCTGAGGGTATACGCAGCATGGTACATGAAAACACACATAGTTGAACCATGATGGCCCTTTTATGACAGTGAAGGAAAATAACCCACCCTGCAGGAGGTGACAATTTGAAGCCCGATAATGAGATGCTTGTTTGTTTGTT